CCTGGTAGCCCAGCACCCGGGGGAGACGATGCTGGGTGGCGGTCACCAGGCAGGCACCCCAGGGTGCTGCCACGCTTGCGCTGGGTGCCTGATCTGGGGGCTTTTTCATTTCTGGCAAGGCTTTTCATACCCCTGTGGCATACTGCTCGATGGGGCAACTCGCAGGAGCCCCGTGATGGAGCCGGCAGCCCCCCAGCCTTTCCTGGGGCAGACGCTGTGGGGTCTGACCCCGTCCTCTGGATTTTAGCCCATCTCGTCCGTCCCGCAGCCCTGGTGCTGAGCCCTGACCCGCACTGCGATGGCCGGGTCTGCCGAACGTCTCATCCCGGTACCCACACCTGCACGCGCTGGCTGCCTCGGCCTGATCCAGGCACTGCGTTTTGGGGTACGGAGAGGGACCCTGCAGCTGCCTGGGGGTAACCCAGCTCCGGGGTGCTCCTGCCTCCCCTGCAAGCAGCTGCGGTGACACTTTGCCGGGTGCGATGTGCAAGCAGGGCTCCGGCGCGGTGGCCCAGCCACCAGACAGGGGTTGGGAGCGATGGAGGGGACACGACAAACCTCGGCTCAGCAGCTGCAGCTGAAGCCCAAACCCCTCCCTCCCCAAAAACACGACCTGCTGTGCTCAGTCTTGCCCAGGAGGTCCCACGTGCGGTCGGGGGGGGCTCAGCCTCTCCTGGCGCCGGCCTTGGAGGGGCCGGGGCAGGTAGGACCAGCTCGGCAGAAAGCCTGGCCCCCCCCCAGGGATGTGCCTCAACCGGGGTGACTAATCCTGGCCCTTCGCCCCAGCCGATTGCTCAACGGGAGCGACAGGAGCCAGGGTGTCACCTCCCTCAGCCCCGGGAGCCTTGGCGAGGCCGTCTCTTCCCAGCGTGGGGACAAGCGGGTGCAGGAGCCGGCTGGATTTCACATCCGGAGTCCCTGGCCATCCCTGCCCGATGCAGAGCCATGTTCTGCTTCGCCCTGACCAGGAGCAGCGAGTATCATCCCTGCAGAGCTGCAGGTCCCAACTCGGCCCCTGCTTCCCAAACCTGGGCTGCCAGGAGCCCCTTGGTGTGAAAACGCTGCACTTCTCAGGCTGTAGCTCTTTTAGACCTCAGCATTTCTTTACTTGGACACGGCAGCGGTTCCCTGAGCTGAGAGGTTTCTATCACCTTGGATTTCCATGTTCTCCAGCAGAGCAGAAGGGCTGCAGATGCTGCCTGGGTATTAAAATAAAAAAGCCAAGCAGCCATAAAAGTTTTGACAGCTCTCACATAACGCCAGCTTGACCTGACAAAACCCTTTTAAGCCCCCAAATCTCTCAAAACCATGAAAAAGCTGCCATAAAATTCACATTTTCATGATCATGTCCTCCATCCCTTTACACCAGCTACAGGGCTCAAAGATGACCGGGACAAGTCCCCAAGACCACCAGGCACGGATGGAGTTTCAGCTCTGGTTATGGTTAGGCTGGCTTCCAGCCCCAGACAGCACCGAAATGCGGGCGCCAGGTTTCAGCCAGGAACATCCAGGGAAGTCCCCGGGCTCTCAGGAAAAGAGCTCAGGCACCAACAGGGGACAGGAATTTGACTTTTTTATTTGAAATGTCCGTGCAGCCTCTAATTCTGAACTGATACGGTTAAAGCACAAGCGTGTGTGTGAGTGTGCGCCCGTGGAAGCGCGTGCCTTCTGCCCCTGAGCTCCTCCTCGTTTCCAAATCCTGACCACACAGCTCAGGCGCAGGAAAAGTTCGTTTTAATTCTCCGCCTAGCTGCAGTCCCTGCTGAGCAAGACCCCACTCACATTTAGACTCACCGAGTCGGTGGTCTGCGATCGCTCTGCTAAGGGCCAAACTGTACTGGGAGAAGGAGCCGTCTCAGTTTATGCAAGGTCTTGGGCAAGAAGCGATGCTGAGTCTGCACGCCGAGCTGGGAGCCGGGAGTCTTGCCCGCTCCCATCCTACGTGCAGCTGCGCGAGCTGCTGGGAGGCACTCGGAGGGCTGCGCGGTGGGGACGCCTTGCTTTTCGTGGTCCCAGCCTTCCCGATTCACCGCGCC